GGATATTGCCTTTTTGAAGGTCTAGCTCTCCCCATCCACCTCATCGGACCCTTCCGTTTCCGATCAAAATTAGGACATCCATGTGGGCGTCCGAGGCCCATGAAAAGGCCCAGGGGAATTTTTCGTTAGCCGGCCGGAAACTACCGGAACATGCTCCTCGACGACGTCTGCCCCCGAATTACGAGCTTTTTGTTCCGGTAAGCTCGTTTGATGGTCCATATATCTTCTCGGCAATTTTCGGGTTGCTGACTAGAAGTTTTATGGGGTGCACGTATGTTTCCGTTTGCCATTGATGGATTTAGAGTTGCGATAAATCCTTTCACACCAATTTGAAGAGATTTCTCTTGGTCTGTTTAGAAACGCATTTTTCCTTGTTTAAAACTGGCAGTTTCCCAGTTTCCCACCTGGCCAATCTTCCCATCCTCCATTTTATCCACGAATTTAAAGTTTCGATAAATATCTCGGCACCGTTTTTGACAAGATTTTCCATGAGCTGCTTGAAATAAACCCATTTACCCAGCGGAATACTAGTAGTTCGATGAACAACGAAAAAACACTATCTTGTTTACATAGAGTGCTGCCTTCAAAAACGAGGGGTCTTTAGTCGTCTATTCGAACCCCCGGGCAGTCTTCTTCTTTTTTTTGGGGGTCGATGAGCTTCTGGGATTTTTTCGCCCATCCTTCCGGTGTATTCAGCCTGCAACAGGCGATCACTAACCCGGATTATTATCGCTGTTTTCGATGTAGGACACATTAAGAATTTCTTCCAAAGTTTTTAGAATTAAATAGCAAAATCCAGTTTTTGGCCGAAGGCCTTGAATCACATTCCCATTGAGGCCCCCAAAAAGTGAATCATAGACGGCGGAGTGTTGAATGGCGAGATTTCACGGTCCATTGAGTCTGTTTGTTTGGAGCTATTCGATTATTCTGGCGATGGGCTTGTGGCTGAAGCAGCTAACACATCGTTTTTACGCTCTTCGGTCTGGCTGTTGGTTTTGTGAATGAACAACATGAACTTCGTGGTCACCGCGAATGCTAGAAACTCAGCAAGTCAAAGTGTGCCACTACCCTAGCTAGACTCCTTCTTACACCTTCTTACAGCCTAGTCGTCGGGATTTCAGGCGTGATTAGAGGGAGTTGGATTCGAAATTAGCATAGTTTGGAGGGGACTAGAGGCTCCGGGGAGGGGCAGGCGTCGAGTGGGGCTCGGGGCCGTTGAGGGGCTCTCGTGCAAATTGAGCTTGAGCCGGTGAGCCTCTTCTACCTTCGGCTCCTTGGCTGGGGGTGAGGCTTCGTCTTCCGGGTGTTCTCCTTAACTGATCCTTGGAGCCAGGTGTGATCAGGGAATTCTAAAGTGCTTCAGAGGTGTTTGGGGTTTTAGGAGAACTTTGATGAATTCTTAAGGTTTTTCGGCTTCTCCTGTCATTTTGTGTATTTCTGGTTAAAGTTAAACATTTCAAGTAGGCTTTGATTTTATTTACTAGCCCACGGACCGATTTTACTTCCCATTAATTGCCGACACTTTCTGGAAAGCACAAAGTGGCTTTTGATATCACCGCTAAACCTTGGTTTCCACCTGCCCAATTTAGCGCAGAGAAAAAACGTGCCCCCATCAGTCCGGCCAGCTGGAAACATGGCGCATTAATAGCCGTTTGCGTTCTCCCGGTTCTGCAACTTCCATTGATGTTTTCTTTTTTGGGGGCATTGACAGCTATGCTATTTCGCTTTAGATATGGCAGAAAACGACACACGACCGTCGTGTGAAGAATGGTGGCATATATTTGAGAATATTAACCATTACTTTCGCGATGATATTGTTTTGAATGGGACTGGGTATGCTTCTACAGAGGTGAGGAATTAATTTAATTTATTAAAGCTAATTGAAAAAATTGGATCTGGAACTTTTCGCCTTCGGTGTTAGCACAGCTATTCCCAAATGCAAAAGCTCTATTCATGAAAGTTGTCTGGTCCTTGGCCGTGCCGTGTTTTGACCGGCTCAACCCCACAGCTCGCAATTTAAAGCCAATGCCAACTTTTGGGAGGGACGGCCTTCCAAAAAAAAAGAGGGACCCGCTCTGAAATTCCTCATTTCCAGATTGGCTACGCGATCACAGCTGCCTACCTCGTGGTGATATGTGAGTCCAAGGATCCAAGTGAAAATTCAATCTCAATAATTCAGTGTTTGGCGCCTTCGGAAATTTTATGACGATCCTGGTCGTCGTGATCAATCCTCATATGCGAACCACCCGCAACTTTTTCATCATGAACCTCGCGTTGAGCGACTTTTTTGTAAGGATTTTGGGTGGCAGATTAAAGGGGTGGTCGTGGTGGGGGGCCTAATAACAACACACCGCATTCATTATTATTTTGGGTTCTATCTGTTATCTATGGGATAGGAAAGGGAAATGAGGTGAGTGAGTCTTTCCATTCTGCAGGAATATTAATCACCACAATATGTGAGGAAGAGGCTTGTAATGAGGGCCCAGATGTGTGACATTTTTTTGGGATAAAGGGGATGTGAAAATAATGGTAAGATTGATGGGAATATGGGTTATAAAGCGGGAATTTTCTAACTTTGCATAGCTTAGGCTTAAAAACTAGAGGACTTCATAGATGTCAAATTACATTCAAGAAAACCATTTTTCAGGTCTGTACCGTCACGGCACCAATCACACTCTATACCGTAATGTTCACCTTCTGGCCATTCGGAACACTGCCATGCAAAATAGCCGGCAGTCTACAGGGGTTCAACGTCTTCTTGTCGACGTTCAGCATCGCAGCCATTGCACTCGATCGGTATGCACCTTTGGTGCGATAATAACAGAATTTCTCCGTATTGCTAGCGGTTTTACCTTTTTTGGTTGGTCAGGGAGCAATTAAGAATCAAAAACCTTGGGCCCCGTATTTTCCCTAGGGGGAGTCGAGCTCATGACTATGCGGCTAAGTTCAATAGTAGCTGTGAGAAATGCATGACGAAACTAGTCAATGATAAAAAAAGGTGATAAAAAAAACGTAAGCCATACTATCCAGGAATTTAATAAAAATAGAACGAATGACAATGATACGATTCATGGAAGACACCCAAATATAAATTTTTAGTTACGTGCTCGTCATCTTCCCAACAAAACGAGAAAGACAACAAAACCTGGCGCTCGTATTTTTTATCATGATTTGGATCACATCACTGGTACTCACAAAACTATTTAACCATGCCAATTTGTTTAGATACTCGCTATTCCACTCTTCATAGCATCCGACTTAAAGCCAGTGTTCCGGTCGGAACCCTGTGGAATCTCCCTAGATTTGTGCCATGAGCAAAATGATATTTGGAACAATGTAGGGAACGCGTTACCTTTTAAATAGTTTATTTTTTAGATGTGGATCTCCAAGCGTGATTATACTCTCGGCGCACTAGCGACGCATTATGCCTTTCCGCTGTGTTCTACGGTTTGACACGGGATTCCGGATCTGAAGGCTTTGCCTTTTTCAGGTTTTTGCATATTCTCGCATCGCTCACCGTATGAAAATGCGATTTTCCACAAAAATAATGCTCGCCCAGCGATGGCGTCGAGTCTACGGCGAAGGTAATTTGTTTCCAATCTGTCTATTTTCACTCATGAGTTCTTGGGAATATTGGATACAGGGTATATTGGTGTGGGAAAGATCAACTCAATAAATTGAGCGTATGCGACAAATTTCAAGATTATGGTGGTAAGGATGGAAAAATTAGTTCAGAAAAGTGATAGAACAGTTTTGACGTTTTGCTAAGTTGCAGATCGGTCGTCGAGAGACAAAGACGTACTCATCTATTGTTAATTTGCGTTGTGGCCGTTTTTGGGATCGCCTGGCTGCCGTTAAACGTTTTTCATATGGTAAAAGCTTTTGCATTTATTAATAATTTATTTTTCTAGACAAATACTTTCGAATGGGCGCCATTTTCTGTGATTGTCTTTGCTGGGTAAGAAAATCAAAGGAAGATGAATACTGTATTCTAGCTGTCACATCATTGCGATGTGCTCATCATGCCTAAACCCCCTCTTCTACGCGTTCTTCAACCAGAACTTCCGCACCGAATTCATCGCATTATTCGATAAGGCCGGGCTACGGTATGTTTATAATCAAATCAACTCCCACGTCGGTGCCATTCCAGTCGTGTTCGTTCGAAACTGATTTCCCCAGAGATGTAAGGTTCGCAAGTTTTTGAGCGAATGGCACATAATAAAAAAATGAGCTTTGCCGTGTCCTAACGATTCCCAGTAGGATACTAACGTCAACTTGAACCTTGCTGATTTTTAAGAAAAAGTTTTTTTAGTCGGGTGCGTCATTTCTTTGGGACGATTGATCGGCTACTTGGGAATGAGATGCCGCAGACCACGAAAGGAGGTATGCAGAATTCATATTGAAATGATGTCAGAGGGAGGACACAGGGGGAAAAATTAAATTCTATTTAATTCACTAGAAAAAGCTGACAACCCATAGATAACTTCTAACTTTTAGTCACCGCCAGCGAATTCTACCCAGACATCACCGAAACTTTCCCACTGGCTGCTACAGAAGCCCACCGACCTGAAGAAAACCTCAGCTCCCTCCGTGTCCCCAGCAAATGTGTACCGGCCTAGTCCCAAAATCTTCCTTACTCTTCGATACTTTAACCCCTTAGTTCCACAATTTGTAACATCCTCTTATAATTCTGCACGCCATTCCGGTCCTTCCGAAGCTCAAATGTTTTGAAAAATGCAGCTAGTCTCATTCAACATTATCAATTTGATTGCACCCCCGATCGGGTGATGTACGGGTCACGTATTTCCATTTTGCCTTGCGGGTAATGCTTTGATTTTGTAATTTTTTGGTATGGATAAAGCTTTTAAAATGTTTGTTCGCGGGCGATCTCACTCCGTATTTTTGGTGGCAATGAATTACTTTAACGTCTTTATTCAATACAAACAAGAGGGATCACAGTAGAATGGATGAAGCCATAAAATGAACGGCGCATTGGATCAGAGGAGACAGCCGATGGCACGCAGCGCATTGTAGGGGCACTTTTCCAGGCAGCACTGCTGTAGTGCGTCAGCCGGATCGATCTCCTTGTCGTAGCCGACATTTTCGAGTCCTGAATTCAAATCAATAATTCAAATATGAAATTAGGTCTTACCATACTCCTCGATCAGCGCGTCACACTCGCCGGGCTGGGCGACGAAGCGCTGGACGCGAAGGTTACGTTCAAGGCGCCGAATACAGAGCTAAACTTATAGCGTTAGAAAGTTAAATATTGAGCGTCATCTACCTTTGGTCGTGGCTGCTCAATATCGGATTTCTTGATAAAGCCCGCATCAACAGCCAGCGCACAGAAGACAGCCACCAGGACGAGGAACCACAAGTTTGCCATGGAGTCTGCTGAAATTCTTGGTATCTAGGGTAGCTAGAAATTCACACCAAATCCCAAACAAATCGCGAGCTGCCAGCAAATGACTACAAGGTGAGGGCAAGTATAACAAAAATTTGGTGGAGGCGTGGCCCGATTAGTTGGACGGATGATTAGGACGGTACCCAAGGGAGTTTGAAAAAGTATTCCCATGGTGTCTAATGTTGTCGACGACATCAGATGCTATGGATCGTGTGGGGAGACCTGTTTGAGTCAGGACAATTAGTGAGGCGAATTGTAGGCGGATGAGGAGAAAATTTGGAGGTTTCATGAAATATGTACCAATTTTTAGACGCGATTTTCAGATTTATAGAAGTTGCTTTAAGTAGAAAATTCAACAACCTATGCAAGATACGGTAACTAAAGCCCATTTTTGTGAAACCAACGAAACCAATCCTAGATGTCTAGTCTCAAAAGCTGCAGACATTCTGCCGAGTTTTCCTTCCCAATTTTGAGGAACTACCATTAATCGCTTTAGCGCAGGTCCGAATCGATAATTAGCCGCTATTCGCCCCAGCAAATAATTGCCGCCCCACGGAATTGTACTTCCATCTCCGGCTTCAGCTAGATAGACGTCATTATGGGATCCCTTCCCCCTTCCGTCTTCTGTCACTTTTCGATTTATTCAAAAAGGAAATTTTGCAAAATTTGAAAATGAATGGAATGGTGGAGGCCCGGCAACACTATATAGCTACCACAAAATAAAACAAACTGACACAGAGAGAATATATACGAGGATGGGTGGAGATTGCAGCTGGGTCGGGGGGAAGAAGAGCCAACGCTTGGGAGGGCATTTTTTAGGGGCCTGCGGGGGTAGGGATTGGGATCATCAGGCTTGTTCTTCAGATTCCGCTCTATGGGGGTCCACATATTTTCGCATGCGGATCATCTTTCATCGCTTTCGGCTTACTTCTTTGTGTGGGATCTCACGTGCCCCACCACAATCAATCTTTCATGTTCGTTGCGGGGATCTGTGCAATTTTTGAATATTGAGGATGGGCTTAGGCTTAGGGTGTGTTTGCAGCAAAAATGGGGGGGTTTGGATCGGTTAAGGTAAAAAGGTCTGATCTTGGGACGACAGGGTAATTCGAATAAAAACGACAAACATCGCCAAAAATGGCTTCTCCTCATAGAAAATGTTTTGGCATTTTTGCATCTTAATTTGCATATTATCCCGATAAAGAACCTATACTTTAAAACGATCAAGCCAGGAAATCGCAGGGTAGGATTTTTACTATGTAGCTTTAAGGTACCCTCATCTCTTCCCCTCCAACACAGCCACAATATCTTCGAAGTCAGCTTTAAAAACACCAAAACTGCAAAAAGGTCACACGGGTTCAAGAAGATAAAACTAAGTATATCGAAAGCGAGGGGGGGGGGGGAGAAAGTCCAGTTTGTGTGTGCTGAGAAAAACCGGGAAGGGACCTCATTTTTGATAGCGCAGAAGAGCCTGGGTGTGTTTGGTGTGATTGGCCGGAAGGATTATATGGAAGGCAATAACTGGGCTCAAAAACCGGGTTATGTTAAAACATGTGTTACAGGATTGGGGGAGGGTTGTTTTTGGAGGATATTGGATTTGAGGAGACGGATTTGCGTCAAAATAAAGGGCGACGACCGGCGAATGTTAATTCGACGGCGGCCAGACTTGGATAATATTTGGTAGTTCATAAATCGTCGTTTCAGAACAAAGGGGTATATAATAATTAAAATTAGAGCATATGGCTGTTGGCGTCGTGATGATTGTTGACAGCCACAGTCAATTTCTTCGATGGATCAGGGCTGGCAGTCTGCGAGAGTACTTGGTATCCTTCTGGCTGTTTCACCTGCAACCAGGAACATCTTTTTATTTATGGGCGCGCATCCTTGAGTTTTTAATTTTCAACCCCTCGCGGATGAGTGGGTAGTTGAGCGCGTTCTTTAGAATTTAACCTGGCAAGCGATTCGTTCGTTTACAAATAAGGAAGTATATTCCGGGGCAAGATCAAAACTCAAAAATTTTGATTTCTTTTACCTCAATCTCCACAGCGCCTTCTTGCAAATATTTCTCACAAAGCCGAGCGACGACGGCCGCACCAATCGAATCACCATGGACGTTAACTAAGAAATAATTCTTAAGCGATCTTATTCTAAATTTACCAGTCGTCCTAATACGGTCCAAGAAGAAATCAATTGGGTAGATGAGAATAAACAAATTCGATGGCAGTCCAATAGCGATCAGCACCATAATCATCGTCACGATTCCGGCTTGAGGAATTCCAGCAGCACCAATACTGGCGAGGGTGGCTGTCAAGCTAAAAATAAACAAAAATATTAACTTCTAGATTCTAAGATTACCTGACAAGAATGATCTGCCCCAGGCTCAAATTTAACCCGACACATTGCGCAATGTAAATCGCGGCCACAGCTTCATAGAGCGCTGTCCCGTCCATATTACTAAAAAAGTTACGATAATTGCCGTACAATTATTGTTTACATCGTGGCTCCCAATGGCAGAACAAATCTGGTGACCCTGGGGTCAATCCCGTTATTTTCCTCGCAACATTTTATCGATAACGGTAACGTGGCGGAACTGAAAGATTTCTAGTTGTTGATTGAAATTGCATACCTGGAACTAGTGGCCAATGCCGTCAGTAGAGCCTGTGCCATACCGTAGACGTATTTGATCGGATTCTTGCGGGCCAACTAATCGAGATTGTATATTTTTAAAGTTTTTTTGCTTACCACGACCATAATTAGGGGCAGGATAATGAACCCGTGAATGAAGAGGCCGAGGAGGACGGTGATCATGTAACTAAAGTTTTTGTTGACTATTTCTTGGCAGTAAGAACGTGTGCTCAACGGTATAAGGTTGTGATTTTCGATTTACCCCAAAAGTCGCTGCAATTCCTTTCCGGGGTCCTTCATCCCGACGATCTGGGCCGCAATCAGGAAGGTGATACCAATAGGCGAAACCCTAAAAAATATGCAAATTACCAAACGAATTAAAAAATGTCATAGTTTTCAGATTTTTAATTTATAAACACTCACCAAATAACCAGCCCAATCAGCTTCATCGAACAGGCTTCCAAGCTTCGGAAAAATGCGCGCAACGCCCTCCCTTCCTCCCCAATCCAGCTTAAGCATTTTTTTAGATGCTATTTGAATACTCTCATACCCAATCGTAATTCCCAACGCCACTGAAAACATCACAAGTCCGAGGATGTTCAGCGAGTCCGAGCGGACCTTCTCTGGCACCTCCTCAAAAATAGCGCGCTCCGCTAAAATTCGTAATAGATGCACTTTTTAATGTCTTACCAACGGACATCTTCATCACAATTTCCGGATCGACTAATACGCTGCCATTCAAAAATTTCATGCAGACTTTTTCCTAAAACGCGAATTGAGAGTTTTTAAGGCAACTTACACTCCGGAACGTGGCTTCGACGAGGTTTTCGGGGAAGAGACTTCTAAACAAAGATATTGATAAAAATTTATCGATATCTTACTTGACAAGATCTAGCACTGTATCGACAGCATTCGAAATGCAGGGCGGGGTCTTTTTAGTTTCACCCAATGCGGCTTCGATGTCGGTGACCACCCAGGTGCCTGGTTGGATCAGCACCACCAATATGATACCTAAATATCAAACAAAATTACTTAAAACCGAAATAAATTACCTAATATTACTGCTGACATGGTCGTTGTAAAATAAAATGCTAAAGATATCACGCCAAGTTTTCCTGCCGTGCCGGAATCCACGCTTGACAGTGATGTGCTAGAAACAAATGCTGATGGACATTTTTCAAGTGTGGTAGCGTTTTCAGTTATATCAATATTTTCAGATCCGTTTCCTGCCACTTTTAATGGTTTAAACCTACATTATACTGCTCAAAATCAACGGCAAGATCAACATCTTCAACATCTGCACAAAGACATCACCTAAAAACATTCAGATAGGTGAAGCCATACTTTATTACCGGGAAATCGCAAGTATGCCAAATGCTTCCGGCTCATCGGATTCTCCGAATCCCGCATCACGACGCCAAGCACCGTCCCGCACACCACTCCAAATACCGTAAGGAGCAGCAGTACATTTTCTTTTTGTACCATCTTGGCTTAACGTTAATTTAAATTGTTTAAATTTAAATTGTCGAATAAACATATATATAATAAAAAAATCGATAACAGAGGAAAGACGAATTGAAAAATGCGCGGGTCAAATGGAATAAGCGTATCAATTGCCCCGCTTCGCCTCGGGCAACGATGGTGATTCAGCGCAAAAGAATAACATCCCCGTCCCCGGAATATCAGGCAAAAAATAAGGTAGACGTCTCGGGGCATCTCGATGGGAAGAAGGCCATTCGCATTAGCAAACGAGAAAATAATTCCAAAAGCCTGGGTGGAGAAGCCCGTCCCGAAGGGGTAGGAGAGATTTCTTTAGCTGATAGAAAGAAGGAGAGACCACTGGTTGGTGCCCACGATGCCAACAAACACACATACAAACGGATAGAGAAAGAGATCGACGAACCAAACAGACGGACAAACCCCACTCTTCTAATGTAATTATCGACCCGAAGGCGACTGGTTGGAAAGTGCCCGTAATTGGGAGGCGTTGAGCTGAATTTCAGCGTTTCTCCCATTCCACGTTAAGGTCAAAGCTCTTAGGTGAAGGGGATTGCCCTGGCCGCCTAGAAAAAGGGGAAAAGATGGGGAAAATTATGTTGAATTAAGAAAATATAAACTGCCCGAACTACACTGACGCGCAAAATACACCTTTAACCCGGGTTCATCGTGAAAAAAGAGATTCAGTGAAAGATGATTGTAAAAATGATAAAAACCAGCTGTTCCAAAAACCAGCCCAGCATCAAAAATTTTTTTCGAAGTTTCCGCTTCGATTGGTCCCGTTTTTTTCGTCCCCGACCTTAATCCACCCATAAATCTTGCAGAAACACATGTGCCCTAGGAAGGCAGCAAAGGCAACCCCCGAATAAAGCCACAAAACTCGGATTCAACGGCTTAGACCTAAGAAATGGCAACAGAACGCTTTTCAAAACCATAAAAAAATAGTTTATGTTGGGCTCTAAGCGCCGTTCGTCGCAACCCGAAAAAAAAACTGAAGCGTGTGTCTAGAGGAAGGCAAAGATAGCGCAACTTTTAGGAATCGGCTGAAAGTGTGATTTTTGGTTGCAAGCGTCATATGTTGCTAGTGCTACCATTTTTAGCGTAGGCCGCGCCTAAACAGACATCGTTTTTGTCCCCCAGCGGCCCACTACAAAAACGACGTCGACCGACGACAAAAGCACAGCCAATGTTTTGCATCAATATTTTATGCCACCAGTCCACAAAAAGAGAGCCCCTAGGTATGTGTGTGCGCATTTTCAAATGCAGCCCTTTTTTGGGGGGTGGAGAAGCATGGGGGATCCCCCTGTCCCAGCCGACCCCGTGGCCCAAGCAGGAAGCCAAAAAGTGGGAGCTGAAACTGACCGAGCGTGATTATCGGGGTGCCAACGGCCGCGAAAGGTAGCGAGCACTTTGGTAATTTGTCGCCTTCTCCTCCTCCGACCACAAACAAACGAGAAAAACCAAATTCCACTAAACAACCAAAAACTAGAATTCGGTCAGAGCTGCCAGGAAAATGGATTTGTCTGGTGTTGACAGGATTCTTGGATTTTTGCGCCAGCAATTAGCGGAAGCATTGGATCGAAAACTGCGGAGATCGGAGTGCCATGGAGCTGGAATCTACAAAAATCGGCCTGAGCGTAAAAATTCACTGTTTAATCTTGCTGAGCCATCGGATTTAAAACCGCTAAATCTGCCTCAGAATAAAGCGGACTTTTTTTTAATTTTCATGCTGCTTGCTCTCATCAAAATTCATAAGCCAACAAGGGCCGACGGTGTTGGGGGAGAGGACGTAATTTGATGCGAGGTGGAGTGTTCGACGGGGTGGAGGGGATTTTTGCAAGAAGCGCGAGATCGGCAAAGGGATTGTGTTAGGGCCCGGGTTGAGGGTGATGGCCCCGGGTCTCTGAAATTCGAACTCTGCCCCCTGGTGGAGCAGCAGGGCCTCACAAGGAAAAATGGAACAAAAAGTTGGGCAAGGCCAAGATTTTGGCGAGGTCACAACGACGACAAAATCGGCAATGTGCCTTGAGGGCGGAGCGGGGAATTGAGAGCTCAACCGACCACAACCGGGAGGGTTTACATTCGGTGTGATCCGGCAAAAAAGGCGCCAATGGCCAAAGCTTAAACAGTGCACAAGTTGAGTCCGGGACCATCGCATAAATCAGGAAATGATTTTGAGCCTTAAGGGTCTTACAACGTGGCGAGACAGGTGGAACATCTACTTTAACATGTGATAGATGGTGCTGTTTTGACGGGTGTCGGCAGCATCAACTACACGAATCACACTCGAAAATTGTATTATCGAAAATCAAAAGCCTAAGTGCAGAGCACCGTCCAATTGCCGTGTGAGCTTCCCTTTCAAAAAATTATGGATTGTCAATTGCCGGCTCCAACAATTACCAGAATCTCCGCAAGAATTACGGCACTCCGAATTCTGCGGGCAGTCCCAGGCGCCGCCAAGAATACGTAGAACTGGGTGTGAATTTGGGATATGGCGTGGAAAGGTTGTGTCTTGGGGAAAGAGTTACTACCCGGCAACGTGGGTTGCAAAAATTAATATAGCGTGCTAGGAATGTTTGGGGTTAGTTTGAGAAGATGGGAGGTGAGTTTTTAGCCAGAACAGGTTGGAAGGTCGAAGACCGCATCTCAAACTAAAAGTGTGGTTTCATCAAAACTTCTAAAAAAATAATAATAATAGAGAAAAGCTTTTAAGCCGGTTTTAAAGGTAAATTAATTCAACTTCGTGGGCATTAGAAAATTTTGAAAGGCGATGATAAGCTCCGTATTTTTAAAGTTTTCATTTATTTTATTTTGTTGCAATATTTTAATTTCTTTTTTACCTTAAAACCCCAAAAACAAAATTAACCGCTCAGAACCCACTAAAATTCCATCGCATAACACAGCTAATCAAAAGCATGCAAAAACATCCGGCGGCTCCCCGGAGCTCTAGTATTTATGTGGGTCGCTGAATTTTTGAGATCGTTTTTTGGCCCGGGGAGGAATGGGGGGAGTTGACGGCGATTTACCGGATGAGCTGCTGAATAAAGGAAGTGGTTTTACCCGCTAAGGTGGGCGGCATGGATTTAATATCGGCAAAAGCCGAGAGATCGTTCCTCCCCTTTAGCCACATGAGGAGAACACAAATTAATTCGCGCGGTGTCTGTTTGTGTTGTCGAGCGCGGTTACACTGCATTGGGATGGGAAGGGGAGGGCATGGCATGGCTTTTGCATAGTCGAGATGTAGGGGGGTTGAGGGGGATCACTAGGAAAATGAGCCTGAGGAGCGGATGCTAGCTGGCCAGCAGATGGATCCAATCGGGAAGCGCCAGGAAAAATGGGTGAAATTCGAATGGGGATTCATGTCTGGAAGAGAGGCTTTTCACATAAAATGGAGAAAAAGGTTGAAGAACGACGTGTAATTTTGGCAGAATGAAAGTAAAATATGTAGATTTTGAAAGATATAATCTAATTACCATAATTCTTAGGCTAAGTTGGTCGGAGGCTAACTAAAACTTTTTTTTGTGTCTTTTCCATAGACATCTACAAACAGAATCCGAAGTCTAAATAATATTTGAAATGGAATCTGTTTACCTTACCTAACAGTGCACTGAGCACCAGCTAAACGTCTCTTTGCTTACGCAAAATTTGGAGTTAGATGGTACTGTAAAACTCAATTAATTTGCAAGTCAATTCCCAAAAGCAAATTTTTAGCGACCTTCCGATCAACCTCACAGATCGGCAATCTTGCGATGTGGCATGCGGGCCAAACCCTTAAAAACCTAAGAACGGCATTTGTCCATTGTCTAGCAAAAGCCGCCAACCCTTCCCAGCCGACCACCACCAAATGCCCAAAGGAAAAACTAAATATTTTTAGAAAGCCTCGACCCTGGCGACTCTCCCCCCTCATTGTGTGCGTAATTCAATGGCCGCCGGTCGGTCCCGGACCGCCTAGGGCGGGTGAAAAAAGTCGAATTTTGAGGGGCGTGTGTGGGGTGGCCCCTGGGGTGCCAGTCAAGAGGTTAGGAAAAAAAGAACCGGAAGCCGAGAGGCTGCAATTTGTGCGAAGTGGCCTGCCGAGGGCAGGATATGGCCCTCAAGCGCTCCTGAGGTGGCCAGAAGGCCGCCTGCGATTCCTATGCCCCCCAAACAAATAATCCGATTCGAATCATCTCCTTCGCACCCAGCCGCGCTAAACCCTCAGGGGTGGGGTCCGAATACGGGTAGAGAGAAGCATGGAAGAAGCCCGGAAATCCGGGGAGCCGTGAATATCCCATACTCACCCCCAAAAAAAGCGAGCACGTGCTTTTTTTGTGGAGGGAAATTCATAGGACATTCCTTCGATGGGAGGTTAGGTGGGCTTTGGTTAATCTTGAAATTGTGAGAACAAACAGAATCAAAAGAAGGGCGCGGGGCAGTTCGGATAGGGACCAAAGAAACATCTTGGAGTAAGTGATTTTGACAGCTTGACTCATCGCGGGATCGAGATGTTCTTTTTACAACTTAGGTTTCAAAGATCGTAGGCTCGGATCAGGCTTAGGCTCAGGCCTAGGTACTGTCATGTCTTGTCCTATCCTAGAAAACTAGAAATTCCTGATAATATCGCACTATAAATCTGAATAGAGTTTTTAGTAAAGTTTAGCTATATTCCAGGTGGTAAAGAATAAAAACTTAGAATAGGTACTGATCGTGAACGTGTTAACAGATAGTTTTCGAATCTAATTTTTAAGCGACAATCGACAATGGGTCGTCGAAAAATCAATATCTTTTTTGTCTTTTTTTAACGGAATTTTTTAATGATTTTACGTTTAGGAATTACCAAAAGCGTCTTAGAAACACTTGTTATATTAAAAAATTGGATATCAAGGCAGAGTTCCTTTGTGAAACCCCAAAAATGTTTTAACTTCCCTAGCTGTCACACCAAATCCTAAATTCTGCTTAACTTCTTTTTTCGTTGCTTGGCACGTTGTTTCGGTAAACACCCCCCACCGGTCCAGACGGCGTAAATTCGCAAAAATATTTATTAACTTATGGGCATCCGTTAGCGCGCAACGCCTGGCAACAGCCATTCACCGCCTCAACCAGGGAATTCTTCAGCATTTGGCAGACTTGCTAAAATACGGAAATCATCAAAAAAAATTGGACGCTGAACTTACCGCCTGGGATTGACCGCCAAATTTCGTTTCATAGTCTAGGCTTTGTTTTACGTATTCTTGGCACCAGTAGGGGTCGACGGTGGTGCAAGCGCCAGTGGGGGTGTCGCGTTGGATTTGAGATCCAGGGGCTAGAAAAAGGATTTAAATGAGAACACTGAATAGGAATGGAACGTACCAATAGTAGCTCCGGCATTATTATTGGCATTGTTGCCGGTTCCGGAAAGTGAATTGCTCGTGTCGCCAAAATCAGTATAGGTACGGTAAGGGTAATACATAGAGGCGAAGGTTACACCTAAAAATTATATATCTTATCTCTTATATATCATAACAATGTTTGTTGATAAAAATCCTTACAAAAAAGAATAGAGGACTTTTAAAGAGATACCGACGGCATAGGTCGATCACCCTGATCGACTTTTTGGCAAATAGCCAACAGTGCAGAGAACGCGCTCAGGGGCGAGACGCAGAGACATTTTCTTTCCGGCGCGTCACTGATTACTTATGCCGTCGTTATCCCTTTAACTATTTTTCGATAACTCTTCCCATACCTAATAGACAAGCAAAGACAGCCAGGCTTGAATTCATGATTAAAACGGCTAGTTTTGATTGACAGTTTCGAGGACGGTGTGCTAAATGAGTTGAATGTCAGTAGTGTGTGCGTTTGGTAAGTGTGGGGTGTGTCCGTCCGGGGGCAAGTCGACAAACACCTCCACAAACATTCACACAACTTCTCCAGGTCGCAGCCGAAGACCGGATAAGCTGGCAAATGGCAAACTGACACATTGGCAAACTGTTAGGTTGGATAGACGGTTAGGAGGCGGGAGTAGACTGAGAATCAAAATCAGAAATTCATAGTTGCATATTTTGATATCAGTAAATTAAAATAGTTTATTACAACTTTGATTTATCGTTTGACCCGATGACTTTGAACACGAAATCATGAAGCAATTTCTGGTATTCAGCCGGGTAGGTTTTGGCGTGCTCCACATGGGGCGAGTCGACAAAGTTACGGTAGGTGACGTCTCGCCCCATATGTAATTGTTTTTCGTGGAATTGTTGTATTTGCCTAAATGCGTTTGAATAAATTAACTTGATTTTAAGCTAGTTTTTCTAAAAGTTAGATTTCCCACCACGAGCTACAAATTATATCCGCATCCGAATATAAATACAGCTGCCGGTGAGGGATCTTCGGGTGTTCGGCAAGATAATGGTATTGTATCATATCTTTCAGTTCATACCCAAGAAGATTATGTTTGAATTTCATCTAAGCGGTATTAACAGACTCGATTACCACTAACCTCATAGTAATCATACGCCTTCTTTCCTAGCAGTACCCACATGGTTGCTGTCTTTTTGAGTTGCCCCAAATATGAGTCTCCGAAATAATTGCCTATTTGAAAATTCAGCACCTCGCGATATCCACCAGGGGAGTTTTCGTAAATTGGACAGCTGATGAATAAATTTAGAACGGTAATTGTGCAAACCTGTCAAATACGATGCCGATTGTACGCTCAAAGACGTCTGGGAATTTTCCGCAATTCATCAGTGATGTCAGACACATAATCCCATTCATACTCATCGAATGAATAATCAATTTCACGTGCTTTTTATTGTAAACGATTGCAAAATCGTCAAGTAGCGAGTCGATTTCTGTAGGGGCCTGATGGGTATTTTACAACGTTAGAGTAATTACCAAGCAGTAGATATTTCGGTTGTAGCCATCGAAAAATGCAGTATATCGTAGGGTAGATAATCCATAGCTTTTGTAAAGTTCAGAATATTTCTTTAGGTGTTTATCAGCAGCGCCAGCCCATCCAAGGATTAAGACCAGAATATCCTTATTTGAGTTCCATTCAAGTACACTAGGTTCTTGTTTCATCTAAAAGAAGTAAAAAATTATATATCCATTTGGATATGCTTTAGGTTAGAGCAAAGCTAAAAAATTCGATTTCTGTAAGCTGGCGTAACGGAATGAATTTCGTCTGGCCGGTCTGCCGATTGGTGTAGTCTGATAGTGCACTATCAGTTCAAACTATAATGCGCTCCACACCAGGGGGTATCAGGAAACAGTTTGATCCACAATTTATAAACATAGACGTCTTTGAGAAAATCTGCTTGACACCGGTATCACAGACAGACAGTGCTGATGGTAGATTTTGATTCATGGAGCGGGGTATTAAAACGATGATATAATCGTTGGCAAACAAAAATGAGAAAGTGATCAGGGGGGTATACACGCGTAATAATTGTTTGGGGAACCCGATCGGTAATGAACTAGCGATTGTCTAACAGGGATAGATTAACAGGTATGATTTAAATATGGCCAATAGATACATGCACGGCAACTAAAATATTAAACTTTAGGAACTTTTTGGTTCATTATCACTTTGCTCCGGGTCACCTTCATATTCTAACGACGTGGTGCGTTGACGGCCACGGGGTACGAAGAAGGTTTCGCCGGCTTCTAAACTGCGTTTAATTTTTTGGAATTTCTTATCCCACCTCCGTCAGAATCCGAGGAAGCAGCCAGATCACGCACACTTACAACTTGCGACTTTCTAAACGAGTAAATACCATAATTCTTGAGTTTAATCTACCTAGATGGTTGCAAGGCAGCTGCCCCCCGCTTTTGATGACTTCCACGGGTTCTGGAAAGCGATAGATGGCGTACAGGCGAACAGCAAGCGTCCCTTTTGGAACTGAAAAACAAAATTAAGCTGAGCAAAGCAATCACACGATACCTGGCTGCACTCTCTTCCACCGATAGACCAGAGTCATTTTCGTCGCCTTTCTTTTCGATTATCGGGACTGGAAGAGATGAGGTGGAGGGCAGGGCTTCCTAGGCTGGGATTATAAAATTATGGATATTATTTCGAACCTCCATTTCGTAATCTTCCTCGTCTTCCTCGGGCAAAGGGTTGCTTACGCCACGATTCAATGCCGGAAGTGGTGGGCTGAGTTGGTTGTTATCCATATTGAACAGTTCCACGTTGCGAACCTAGACAATGGATGTTACTTTTCGTGTAATATTCGCATACCTTGTTGTTCTCATCGACATAATGGAAGGCGTAAACAGCATCGTGAGTGTTTGTATATTCGATGGCTTGTGAGATTGAATCTTCTTCGGCGTGTTGAGAGCTAGAGAGTTGAGACTTGTTAGAAGATACTAGTTTCTTACCCAATAGTCGGAGATCGTGAAATGACAGAGGCCTTCCGGGAATCGGATTGATCCATGCTTGTTCGAGAGGAACGAGATGTCTAAAGTATATGGTGTTTAGGAAAATACTTAGCTACTTACCCTCGACAATTTCTTTTGCCCAAGCTTCTTCTCCTTTTCGCGCAACACAGCCAATTCTCTTCTAGCATCTTCGTTGAGTTCAATCTCGCCAAAGTGCTCCTTATGGGAGATTTGGGCACCCATTTCGTAACCAGTTTGGGTGACGGCCAATTGGCAGGAGAATCTAAAGGTTTAAAGGTATGAATTATATAAAATTGCTTATACTTGGCTGATAATTGGTTCCTCTGCTTGTCGATTTCCTGATAGATGAGGTCGACGATTTCGGCAAATTTGTTGTAAAGCCATTGTGGGATGGCGATCGAGCGGATGTAGGAGGTGATCCTAAAAAAATTAATTAATCCATACTCTATTCCCGTTTTTCAAACCAAGAACGAATTTTAGCTTTAAAATCCCGGGTTCGAAATGACTCAATCAAATCTCTTCGACAATTTGACAGGTTTGGCATCCCAATTTCAACGATTCCCCTAATCTAGTGTTACATGCCATCTAAAAACCATCTCTCTTTTTGGCCGAGCCCCTTGACATGGTATTGACGCGGTAAGGTATAGGCATGGATCGGGACACAGTTATCTATCACGCAGCCAGTGTTTCATAGCAAGCGTTCCTGAGTGGCGCCATGCTCCCTTCCCCCCTCCTCAACACCCCCCGACACCACGTGAGATCGCATCAAAAAACGAAAAAGAAACAAAGGAAAAGGACGCCTTGAACCACTGGTCCCACCTTTTTGCGAACAGGATCATCACGTCCAATGGATATTTGGAGATGCCAAACGCCATCCGTGTGCATTTGATCACCCAGAAAGAGCACAGCCATTTCAGGAATGTTTCTTCCGCTTTGCGAGCTTCATCGAAAGCTAAAAAGATTTTTTTTGGTCTTGAAAGAGGGTGCCTACTCCGTTGAATAATCGACGGGAACACAAGATCTTCGGCATTGTGCATGTGCTCGCTATCGCCACAAGTATCGCATTCGGAGTCTAGTTTTCGTCTGAAATGAACTTGATATTCAAGAAAAAGAAATAGGTTACAATACCTTGCTGCATGAGCGGCATGATTTGCAGTCCTGGTTTTTGATCGAATGGGGGGAGAAAAGGCACGGGCAGTCTCAGAAGATGACGTGTTCGAGATCTTAAATCCGGGAATTTTTATCTTTGGTTCCGCCATACCATAGAAGCCTGAGACGGCGGTGGATTTGGCATAGGATGTGCCATATTCGTCTGGATCGTCAGGCATTTGATGCAAGGTGCCATACCTTAAAAAACAACTACTACATGTTATAACGGGATCCTTACTATTTTTGGTGAGGAATCGAACTGTATCCGAGAAACCCTGAAGGCACATCTTTGTGCAGTCCTCCAGTGTTGGCGGCATCAAAACGGCTATCAACCGGAATAGGTTCATTGTCGTGAAACGGATCGACGTCTCGCTGTACATCATTCCAAAGAAGCTGAAAAATATATTTATTTTCATTCTGTTATTAACTCACCTAGCCGATTCCCAATCCGGTGGGCAGATGTCGCTTTCCCCGGAAAATGGGGATACTGTAACCGTGTGATCATCGAATTGGGGCAGATTATCGGAGAATCCGCCATCCAGGTATTTTTCGCCTCGGAATGTGGGGAGGATGACGCCGCATACTCCAGGGATGAAGCACGAGCAAGTGATGGCCTAATTATATTTTTAAAGAGTTCGGAGAAAAACTTACATCAACTAGTTCATCATTTGAGCTGAAATCATCAAGAATCACGTTCTTCTTGTCGCTCCACCGGGTCACCGAAATTTTCAAGCGGGCCGAGCATCTGGAATGGGTGGAGTGAGGGGTAACAATTATGCGGTGATGATATGGCGTGACAGCCATTGTTTGCCTCGGGGGGGAATCGTTGCCTCAGGGCAAATAGGGAGTCGATATGAGGAGCGGGGGCTGTGATCAAAGAGTGAAATGACCGCAAAATCAAGGTGTGAAACTGGGTAATAGATCTCGAAAATCTCAACTTAATGTTAGTGATAAATAGATATCAAAAATTCGTGGATATCTCAATTTTGAAAGCCATTCCACAACTCCCTATCGGCCTCCCTACCCTGTAGATGGTCGATTTCGTAACCCCTGCTATTGCATAATTACACGCTTTTCTCGCGTGAGATCCGACCAAATGATTGACCGTGACCTAACCGCCCAGGATAAGATCTTGCTAATCCCACAGATCGGACCATAATCCCACGGGCGAACTGCACCTGCGAACCCTCGGAGAAAACCCCCGGTTATAGAAAACGCCAGACTCACTTTATATAGGCGTCGGGCGGTAAATATCTTTTGATCTCCTCCCTCACCAATCCCATCAAATCAAAATTTGGCGAAATAACGCCCAGCGAGCTCGAACGGGCCTGAAATAATTAGGGGTCATAAAAGGGACCGTATGGCTGGGGGCTACCTCGCGTACAATACGGAGCATCGTTGATGTTGCTTGGGAGATGCAGACATTGGTGACAAGGGCTGCTGCTACAATTGCGCCTGCTGATGCTCCGGATATTGTGTTTTCTTGGATGAGTTGTGGGGCGTACTCCTGAAATTTATTTCATTATGTGAATTCGAGTAAAGAAAAATTGATCGAAATTATATCCAGATCTTTCTAGCAAATTAAACAAAAATCTAGACCGTTCGATAAAACCGGATCACCCAGACCTTTGTTTTCTAAAGATGTTCGTGACGAGCACTTTAGCGAACCATGCACTTTTGCAAAGTACGGACTTTCCACCCCAACACGTCTTGCGAAATCGGGGCTGCGGGCTCAGATTGTGGCCAGAAGCGGCAAATATTGTTGCAAAAACTTACTTTAATGGCTGCTGCAACACCCCCGTGATATAGACATAAAAATCCGCATCCGGAAAAACTTAAATTCATGCGGCTTGGATCACTGTTGACGAGAGTCATCCTAGAAAGTGGAGTATAATGAAAAGAAATTGGTAAGAACTGAAGTAAAAGGTAATTATGTGACAAAGAAAACATAAAAATGGCTCGAGAAGAAGACAAAATTGTAAAAGCAGAATAGTATGGTATTTTGCGCCCCTGTTCGGGGGGTAATCGGGAATGTATTTCGAAAGTTATAACAAAATGAGGAAAACAGGAAATATGTCTTCTGACGTCAGTAATGGGATGAAGGGGGTGAAAATAGGTGCAAATGAATGATGAAGAGAGGGAGAGGTTGGGGGGATCCCCCAAGGGGGTGGAAGAAGGGCGGGCAGCGGTGGTGGGTATAGCCTTGGTGTGAGGCTGTGTGTAGGGGCAAGAACACGTGATACTTCCCATGCCCACCTAAAGAATGCCCTTAGCCACCGTGGGTGGGCACTGTATAGACCCCCCAAAACTGTCCTTTCGAATGCGTCGGCCTTTATTTTCGTGCCAAATTCGAGAAAGCGGTTGGTTGTTGTGTATTTGGGGGGCAGGGGAGGGAGTAAAAAGGGTGTGCACTTTCAGTAGTAGAAGAGGGGGATGGAGGGATGGGGCGATTGGGTGAGAGGGACAGATGCCAGCCGGCGTCTGTCTCTCCGTCTGCCTCTCTGTCTGTTCAACTGTCTCTCATCAACCCTGCGTCTCCATCCTGCTCCGCACTATCTACAATTTCCCCCAACCTTCTGACGCCAATCCCTCGCCAACGTACTGGCCCTCTCCCCCATTCCCATACTATTTCGCCCCTTTATAGAGCGTGAGGGTGGTGCCCCGAAAAATGTTTGGATGTGTTCAATCTATCAGAGACACCACGTGGTCTGGGCATTCGCTCGGTGTCTGGGCGCCGGTTGTGGGAGGTGTTACTTGGTGATAGCAGTCAGTGGGTCTAGTTTCAGCTTCTCCCCCGGCTAAACAAGTGGTAACTTGAGAGTTGTGTAAAGCTAATGGATGTTGTATTCAATAAAAGGCCCTCGAAAGAAATATAATTTCTATAGATTTTATCATCAAAGAGATTTTAAACTGTTGTATATCCATCTGACTGTTAAAATTTGAAAGGCTTGGTTAATTAATTGATTGCAAAAAAAAATTAAAAATCAATTATGATCAAATCTATTCACTTCTTGGACTCCTTGTGACTTTATAGCATTGTGAAGATAAGAGCGCAATCCTGTGCCGATGGCAAAGTAGACTATAAGACTAGAAAATAGAGACGGTGCCCGTACCGTAAAGGTAGTATAAGTTAGCGGGTAATCTTAATGTCCTGGTAAACAGATTTAGTGAATGTGAGCCAGACCTTGGCCGACAAGGGTCGGCGGTCCCGTAAGACAAGAGGCCCGGATGCTTGGCCCGAGAAATATAATAGCTGCGCGCCCTAGGGCTGACCGGTAGTAAAAGGGTCCAGATGAGCCATTCGATCTGGGCAACCCACATCGTTATGGAGGGCGTCGTCTCGGAATCGATGTGAAAACGGCTTGAGGGTTGGCCCGGAGGGGTGGACTGTCAGCTGTGATGGACAAACACGGAGGGCAAATAACAAGCCGATGTGGGGGCAGGAGCAGGAGCAGCCGGATGGAGACTGGGATGCTAATGGAATGGAATGGATGCATGGTACGGGTTGAATGAATGCATGAATCAAAACTTCAATGCAAAGAAAAGATTCCAATCTCCCGTTTCTTTTTGATATCTGGCTTTCGATTGAAAATCCCATTGCAAATCCTATCCTCTCACCTCAAAACCGAAATACTGGCCCTCAAATAATTGGAAAATAAACTTACCCTCCTATCATCTCTTTATCCTCCCAACCTACCTAAAAATATTGAGGCAACAGTCTGGCATGCAACCAGTAGCCCACCCGGAAAGGGAAACCGATCCTAATACGAGAGAAAGAGCACACTGTCACGTGGCGAGACCTGAACCCGGAATTCCCATAAGAAAAAGGAGAAAAGGCAGGAAAAGGCGATCTTCACCGCGTGGCCCGGAGCCAGCAACAATGCCACCAGCCAAATCGTCTTATCAGAACGAAGGGCACTGGCGTGATTATTGTGGGAAAAGTTGAGCCTGGAAATTCAGTTTGGAAATCATCGACCATTTGAAATCAATTGGAATGAAGCGTCTCCCTAGGCGGTCGATGGCAAGAAGCCAACCCCAAAATTGGCAATGCAAATAGCAGGGAGAGGGCAGACAACGCTGAAGAGCGTAAATATTTACCAAATAAGTCACGTTGGACACGTGTTCTATTAGATATCATACGTGTAGTATTGATACGCTTTTTGAACGCTCATTAATGAGGGTAATGGCCTCAGGATACTTTGCAGACAAGACGTGCTCGTTTCCGACAAAAAAAATTGATAAGAGGGGCTGAGAGTGATATGCAAATTATTGGAAATTTGAGAACTAACTCTGAAAAAAATAGGTAGGTTTCTAGAACATAGCAAAACCCTAATAAATACTGAAAACTACAACGACAAAATACTAAAAATATTGTGGGGCTGTCCAGTATTGACCAGAAACCGGTTGTGCAAAATGTTGTCGATAAATAGGTCGAGCCAGAGACGTGGAGATCAGCAGCCCGCTCACGTGAAAAGCTTGATTTGCAAAAAAAGGGTTTCCGGCGCTTGAGCTTGCATTCATCGAACATCGCATAGATCGATTCGAAAATGATTAATGACAAACATTGCGGCGACGGGAGGACTTTCCACTATGTATTCTCTTCGTTGACAGGTAAATAAGATAGTTCACTTTAACTACGTGCCAAGCCCCAATATAAATTTAAATCCCACGACTCCCTTGTTCCTTTAACTCTAATCTAGCGACCTTTCCCAATCAGCAAAACCTTCCTGGTTCCGCCTTACTATTCCAGTTCCCCTAGTGCTCCAATTAGGTCTTCCTTCCGGTTCCGCCTTGTATCTTATCTTCTAATCTTAAAACTCACGATGTGGGTGAGTAAACAATTCCGAATGCCATCCGTAAAATAGTCTATTCGACGCGACGAATTGCCACATATTGGCCGGAAAACTTTCAATTTTCGATGAGCTTCCCCAATACATCCCAGTTTCCTACACTCCCCGTTCTTCACCATCATTCTTTTCCATCGTGATGTTATTCCGAACAGAAATTTTTAGTCGACGTGACCTTTAATTGACTAAAGTGCGTTTCGAGCCAATTCTCATTATATAGCCTCCGGGCTTGGGTCAAGGAAATGGCGAAAATTGTGCTCCCGCCAGGGCCGTTTCCCCCCGCATTTCCCTGTGTTGCTACACAATTCCGCATCACAAATACCCTTTTTCGACTACCAAATAAGGGCGACTTTATGTATAAGGTAAACTGGCGGTAAAGGTGTTCCACCATGTCCGAAAACGAAGTTCCCAGTCGCGTTTCGGGTAAATCTGATTTTTGGGGGAAGTAAGGTGATTTTGGGGGGCGACTTTTACTGGACCTCCAAACGCGGCGACTATTGTCGAATGTCTTGGCTACTCAGGCGGAAACCCTTTGACTAATGGATTCCCAGAAGTAGACATTGTTTCAGGATCACATGGTTGCCCGTATTTTTAGGCTGTTTTTGAGTCTGAGTTTTTGCCAGGGGCCTCCGGAGCTCCGGAACTTCCGGAAGTCGTAGGTCAGGTTTTCGGTTTGGTGGTCTCCTGTGTATTAGTCTAGCGTAGGGGTTTCAAAGTCATGATCGATGGACTTTTAGGTAAGACTGAAAGAAGAAAATTTTCTGGCGCGTTTTTGGGATTCAATTTACCTTTTTCACCTGCATCTGTTTCAAATAAATATAGAAAATTTCGGGGTCCTCGGGCTTTGGGGGGAGATAAAGTAAACGCTTGTCGAATTTTTCACTCCTGAATTTTTACCATACGGAACCCGAAGAGTCGTTTGGTCCAAGTTTCATTCCAGCTCATTATCCGATGGCCCAGGTTTCTGTGGGTTCCGGCGACCCGAGTTGATAGCCCCTATTCTGGCGTGTGCTGTTGGCTCTGGTCGCCTTCACAGTGGATGAATAGGTAGAATAGACGACGTGTAGAGTTCCGCCCTGGTGGAAGGTGTTTTTGCCGTCGTCGGTGCCCCCCCCATCATCCAGGAGGCGGAGAGAAGTCTCGAAGCCGGAAATTCGGGCTTCGTGCCGCTAGCCCGGGATTTGTTTATCGGAAGGTGTCCCGTAGAACACTCATTGAACTGCCACACCCAGCTCCCCGTCGCCGTTGTGTATGGGGCGGGCACAACATATGCATCGTATGCCGAATTTCGAACACAACAGCGCGCCGCGTGGTAATTAATTACTTGCTTTTCTTGTTGGACGCTGATCAGAATTGGTAGAAAATTGTGGTGGCTCGGCGCTGCTTTTGCTGATCAGCTAGCTGGAGGGTGTTACTGGTCAACAAAAATCTCAAATGCAATTCATGGCGGTCGAGACGGCTTTTATGTACCTCTAATGATGTTCAGTTGATTTTCAGTTATTAATTCAGGACCAAAAATTGTAACCGGATCTTAGATCTAAACTTTATTCAATTTCAACGTTTCAGAGGACCCTAATCCAAGCTGTTTGGATTTAAGGTTTCAATGTTTGGAAACTAGTGATTTTACGCATAGAAATTCAATATCAAAATAACAAGCGTGAAAACTACAAGCTTCGAGAAAAAATTTATATATACGATTTTATAATTTTATCATTCTAAAAAATTGTTTATAAATAAAACTTTTTGTCTTTTAGCATAGCCTCTGAATCAGCCTGAATTACTTTATCGCGATAATTGTTTGAAATTCATAGACTTTCTTTCGAAAACGTCGATTTTCCAGACCCTGCAGGCAAACAATTCGGCCCCCAACTCCACTGCCACTCTATTACCGTAAATTGATTCCAGAACCTTTTTTAAGCGACTTCCGCTTCCCCCTACCGGCTTAAATAGAATACCCGACGATCGAATTTGGGCGGACTCCGATAAATCAGGTGCAACCAAACTCCCTGAAACTAGCACCCCCATCCG